AAGTTTCGTTTTTTTGCGATATTTTCAGAACTATTGATGATATTTTAAATTTCTTTTCAGATGGTTATTCAGCAGGGAAATTCGCAACTTTGCCCCCATTTAACCAACTTTCTACCTCTTAAAGTAAGCGAGATCCCCATAGTGGCACTCGAAAAATGGACACCGTGTATAGCAAGCAAAAAGTTTCGAGCAAAACCACGGTACATTGTCAAATAGTCTAGACGGTATGTCATATTTCATCGCCGGTGACTAACCTTTTATCGACTTGATGGCGCCTCAATGTTTCTCTGGATATTCGCTACAATACCATCACATGTTTCTGCTAACTATTGCGAATGGTTTAATGAAAATGTACAATATGAGACAAAAATTATTGTTACGACTTACGATGACGAATGGTTTCACGTAAGTTACATTAGGACCGACACCCTCTGTTTGTCAGAGACCGATTCCTACTCAACCCATCTTGAGCTTACGTCACACAACATTTATATCTGGTATATGGGTTACCGTTACACTTACAACATACCTACCTACTAGCGAAATGACTAACTGCGAAAAATAATTTACGGTGAGCGGTTCCCAAAACCGTTACGATTATGAAAGTAATTGGAATAATAGACTTACCGATGGTACTTAATTATATACAGTCAAGTGCAATAAATCATAACTTACACAAAACCGTTGCCAATCATAAGCGACTTGGGATAGGTCTAGCTAGATAAAAAGGTCACCAGATTTGCAACAAGGATTCACACGGTCGTCCGGTTTCTAAAATTCCTTCGGCGGTCTCATTTAAAAACGCAATTAAGCATCGAATTAGAGAGAACTGGTCCCAAATAAAAATTCCATCAAACGTTTGAATCATTAAGGAAGCGAATGTACCTACAATCCAAAGTGCGCATTCCGATCACGATCCATTTTACTTTCGTATGACGTCACGCTTCCAATTGCAAAACGCCGCCGCCGATGGCCCAGTTTTTGCCCACGAATTGTGGTACACGGCGCTTGTTATCATTGTTCAAAGATGGAGAAGGAGAGAAAATTACACATTCTAATCGGGCGTTACTTTAAAAACAATTCCGTAAGTGAGAGAGAGGTGTGTAATTAGAAAAAAATGTTCAACGTACTACGCAGTTGACCCGAATCGAGTCGGAATGAATGAACTCCCAAGCGCTTTGGGGTCACGTCTCGAACTACGAGTAATTTGTGAATGGACCGTTTGCGAAAAGCCGTTATTATAATATCAAAGCGATGTTTTGCGTCTACGGGGCAAGCAAAAAGTGGAAAGTTGCACTTCCGTAATATCAAGGTCGTTCGTTTCTCCGTTAGACGGAAAGACGTTCTCACTGGTAGAGTGGAAATCCGGAAATGCGAGAGAGGATCCTTCGTCCTTTCGAATTGCAAATTAGGTTACCAAAATCTAATCGATTATTGAGCTTAAAAAATAAAACGCGCTCTGTCAAATGGAGGGGGAACACGAACTGGTCCAACACGGAGAGTGAAAGCACCCTCAAGCCGAAGCACTCCAGCCTCCCCAAACTCGAGACGCGAGCGGACAAGATACGAAGAATGCTTTTTAGTATGGGAAACTTTAGATACTCGCCTCGCATTCTAAAACACGACTTTTGATCCGGCTCATATTCAATGGCCGCTGATCCTTGAACTCGTAGAAATCGATTGCTTGACATATATGTATCTCATAATGTATGTGTTTCTTTCCTTTTTCGAGTATCATCTTCACCTTCCCCCCCCCCCCCCCCCCCCCCCCCATATTTTGTTCTTTCTACTTCTTTATATACCCACAAGACGTACCCAATATCTTCTTTTTTCTTCTTCTCTGCGTTTTAACAGCCAACAAAGGCACGAAATAATTGTCTTTAACCTTTTTACCGGTTACAACTTCATTCAAAATCGTATTGGCACCTCGTATAAACAAAATAGGTGCAGAAATTTGAGTGATAAACTGTCCGCTAATACAACGAAACAAATTATTCACGGTTGAAAATTATATCAGTCGACTGGCCGACTCCGCTACACAATCAAGTTCCTCTTTTTGCATAGATTGATTAATTATTAGCTTACTTGGAATGGCGAATTTTAAAAAAAGCACCTCCGACAATAATTTCGGCGAAATGGTAGCACAGTTTTTTCGATGTATTCCCGTAATTAGCTTCAACTTTCGCACTAAACTATCACGTATGATACCGTATTCTTCGAACTCGTCTTGACTTTCAGTTGAAAATAAATGGAATGCGCTGTAAAAATGGCGCGCCCGACTCGTGTGGTTTGGCGGCGACGAATGCCTATCTCCCACCCAATTTTCTCTAATGCACCGAATGAAAAAATCGAAACGTAAACGTTTCGACTTTTATCTGATTAAGCACTTGTTCTTAGTTCTGTTCTCTTTTCTTATGAAGCGGCACACGTATAAAAATTGTTAACGGCAATTTTGTAAATTTAACAAAAAAACGGGTCCGTTAACTTGGCCCCCCCCACTGAGAGATTTGATAGTCGTATTATTTTGAAATGAATGCAATCGTTATGCGCTCATATGCGCCACCGATAATAACTCTTGCGCCATTATCGTTTTTTAGAAACATTAGAAAACATTGGGGGGGGCAAGTGAACGTAGCCCCCCCCACTACGTATTTTGTCCCTTGTAACTAGGTCACCTGATCCATTTGGTTATGCGCTCAATTGCGCCACTTGAAAGCTAGAGCCATTGCGGTTAAGCCATAAAAAAATTTTAAAAAGTGGGGTGGGCTAACTTAACGTTTTCAAAAGTTACGTTTTTTAACATGTTTTTTCTACTACATCGTACCTTTCATCATGCGCTAAAATGCGCCGTAAACAAAAATCTTGGCGCCATTATAGTGTTTCAGAAACACTATACAGGGTGTTTTTTGGGAGCTTTAGTTAAACGATTCTGGGAAAGTAAAATAGGTAGGTTTTTAAAAATTTTGTATTTAGGAGTTACTCCGAAGGCCGAATCGATGTAAAATATTTTCAAAATGGACGCACTTCCGGAAATAACTTTTGAAAACGCTAAGTTAGACCCTCCATTTTTTTAAAATTTTTTATGGCTTAACCGTAATGGCGCTAGCTTTAATTCAAGTGGCGCAATTGAGCTCATAACCAGATGTATCAAGTGGCACAAATACCGGTAGCAAAATGCGTTATGGGGGATACCGTTCACTTGCCCCCCCCCCCAAATATACCAGATGTATCAAGTGGCACAAATACCGGTAGCAAAATGCGTTATGGGGGATTCCGTTCACTTGGCCCCCCCCCCCCAAATATATTTAAGGATATCCAAAAAACAATAATGGCGCAAAGATATCTTTTTACGGCGCATTTCAGCGCATACCTGAGAGTACAATTTCGTATGAAAAGATGTTAAAAAAAAGTAACTTTTAAAAACGTTAAGTTGGCCCCCCCACTTTTTGAAAATTTGTCACGGCTTAACCGTAATGGCGCTAGCTTTAATTCAAGTGGCGCAATTGAGCGCATAACCAAATGTATCAGGTGACCTAGTTACAAGGGACAAAATACGTACTGGGGGGGGGCTACGTTCACTTGGCCCCCCCAAATGTTTTTTCGGATTTCTAAAAAACGATAATGGCGCAAGAGTTATTATCGGTGGCGCATATGAGCGCATAACGAGCGCATTCATTTCAAAATAATACGACTATGAAATCTCTCTGTGGGGGGGGGGGGGCCAAGTTAACGGACCCCAAAAAAACGACCACCTGTTACAATGTTACATCTCTTTCCCCAATATCATCTCTTTCTTTCAAAATACCTCTCCATTCTACCCAACGCCATTTTTTCAAATGCTTTTGCCACCAGTTGTGTGTATAGTCGATCGTTCACCTCCCCCACTCTTCTCTTTTACTTCTCTTTCTAACCTTTCATTCAACACCATCGCATAGGTATATTCTCTACGCCATTGTGTTTATCGTGATTTCCCTATAATTCTCCATATAGTGAGTAGCAACCTCTTTTACCACTATTACTCCTTCCTTCCGTCCTACGGTAGTCCCCCTCCTTTTCCTATCTTGTTTATTAGTTTCTTCAGCTTCTCCTTGCAACTATCTGTAGCCTTATTTCTTCATTACCTGCCCCCCTTTTTTCAATTTCCTTAATTGCGATTCTTCTCTTGATTCTTCCACCTCCTCTTTCTCTTGCTTGATCTTAAAATAGACTGCTGCTTCTCTCAACTCCTCCTCTATTTCTCCTTTTCTTTCTTTCTTTCCACATCATCATTATGTATATGTCTTTCTTCTGTACACTCTGTTAGACCACGCCTTTCTATTGTCTCTCTCTTCCCCTTCAATTACCTGTTGCCTTTTTAAAACTCTCCTTTATAATTTTCAACTCATTTGTACTCTCACATCTCTTCTTCTTGTTCCTCTAGTCTCAGTGTCTCTTGTCCATATTTCCATAATTGTATCTCCCTTCGCCCTTACATCTTTCCATTTCTCGATCCTTTTATCTTCCCTTTTAGACTCATTTCCATCGGTTAATGATTCGATTCTATCCTTGCTCCTACCTTAAATTCTTTTATTTCTTCCAGGATTTTCTCATTTACTACGATGTACTTATTTATCGAGTTCTCCCCATCTATGTGTATTGCCCCTCCCTGTTTCAATCTACATTTCCCTTCAATATTCCCCATCCTCTCTTTTCTGATAATTCCAGTAACTCTTTGTTGCACTCTTTAACTCTTAACTTCCTCTTCCTATCTTTACCCATTTTCTTTATTCCCTTTCTAGCGTTTAAATCACCTTCTCCCTCCCCCCTTCAATATGAACCCTCCTCTTCCTTTTCATCTACCATATTTATCAGATCGTTTATAATTTTGTATTGCTGTCTGTCCGTGTGCACAATAATTTTGTTACTACCTATCACTCTCATTTTTTCCCCTCCACTTCCACCTGTATGCCTTCCTCCTCTTTCATTTCCTCCCCCTCCTCGCATTACCTTATTTTTTTTTAAATTGTGTTAGTATGCCTCCTTTTGCTTATCCCACTTCGCAAATTAGTTCTTCCATATTACTTCCCAGTTTTTTTCTTCTATCTACGATTCGACCATACTCTCAGAATTTAACGCCTTTGCTTGCTACCCCCGCCACACCCTACATATATTTATAATCAAAATATTGTAGCGAATTTTCTAGAACGATATGAAGACGCCATAAGTCGATAAATGAGTGAAAGCGAATGTGACTCATTCTTTCCATGAAATATTGTATGCTGATTCGAGATTTTTCTAGAAGCTTTCTGTGTGCTATATTTTGGTAATTTTGGTCTAGTTTTGGTCTCCGTGTTATCGTAAGTAGTGAAATCCCTATCCGTGTTATAAATTCATCACTAGTTAATTTTATATAAATAAATCACCTAAGAAATTAAATTTACGATACAATATCAATAAAAGCCATTACAGCGAAATCTCTTCTAAAAGGAAGCCAGCCCTAATTAAAAAATAAATTCTCTCGTATAGAAAAAATTGACAATTATCATTTGGGATGCAAATGTCACTTTTGACATAAAAATTAAAATGTCAAAAATGGCTAAATTTAAGTATACATTACCCGTGTAAAATTTTAAGTAGAATCTACAAATGAAGTAATATAGGTATAGGATGTTCAATTTAAAACCAGCACGATGGCCACAACTTCCGGTATAAAATATTTTAGATGAATTCCTCTTAATGACAATACTCAAAGTATTCGAGATATTGACCACTGGCATTCGTCATGGGACGCCCTGTACGTGTTAACCGAATAAAGAAAGCCATACGTGAGAGTACTGGAATGAACTATCAGGGATCTTACAACAGCACACCGCACGCCGCCCTGTAGAACTGATTGTATCATCAAAAGCTGATTGATGGGGTTGCCACACCAGAAATTATTATTATTATTAGTAATCCAGGATTTTAGTTTAGGGACTAAAGAATATTGAGAGTCTAAAAATCCCAAAAATCTGAAGAAATAAGATTGGCAGAATTCTAAAATTTGAAATTGTGAACAGATGTGACGCAATCTTTCCGGGAAATATGACGTGTTTTGTTCGAGAACATTCTAGAATACTCGGAAGGGTTCGACAACTTTCCAGAAAGAGAGGCGTTTGCTATATAAGCAAATTAAATTGGGTTTCAGGGCAGTTCCAATTTCAACATCGAAGTAATAAATAATTCGCGCTGTTATAAATCAATTCATTTCAAGACTATACACTTATTGTTAAATAAGTGTAAATAGAATTAATCAAGTGATTAATTTAAACACACCGATTCTCTTACACAAAGGGCCTTAGGTTGTTTCCGAAAACGCACTTAATCTTCAACGGAATTTATACCTCGTGCTATGAATTAAGAAAAGTACACAAATAGTACAAATAGAACAAGGAAAAGATGGTGTACAGTCCCGAAAGTTGGTAGGTACATACCGAGTGATTCCCAAAAATGACTTGTTCCTATCATTTTTGTATTTTAAGGTAAAGAAATGAAGGTGAACAACAAAGACGAAACTATAACCACAGAATGTACAGGGAACTAGCCTGTTTTTTTTTTAATTTTCACTTTTGGTTTCTGCACTTTCACTTGCACTTTCTTGGTCCTTGGACGAAATTACGAATTTTGTTAGTTCCACCACGGCTGGCTCAATTATTTTCGGATGTGATACAATGGCATGAACGGTTGAACTTTTTTTTTGCTAAATCAAAAAATAGTGTCCAATTTTCATTTAAATCCACGTCACATCGCGATCGCGTAAGATACGGGGACGACGTATTTATTTTCCGAGCGTAATCTCGGTGTTTTTATTAGATACTAAAACGGTATCTTTATAGAAAAAAAAAATAGTCGACATTATGTAAATGTTATATCAAAAGGATTTTTTATTTATGTTTTTGTTTACTATTCTTAGATACGTGAAGGTTGAAAGTCGGCTTAATACGGAGAGCGCGTGTCGTTAATGGTTGGCTTTAAATGACGCACGGTGTATGGCGGTAATTGACGCAATAAATACGCTCTTTTAGGCGCCACTTTGTGCTGAATTATATCACTCCGGCGCACAATAAAAGATAAGCGATACGCTAAATTTCATCCGCGTACAATGTTAGAACGAATGCTTACCACATGAGCCACCAACGAACGAGTGAATATATGTTGATTTACTATTTCTCAACACCCTGTATATGAAAAAAAACGTACAGGGTGTTACATTTCAAACATGTTTCGTTTAGCTAACCCCCCAAGAATAATAATAATAATAATATTTTCTTGTCCTACTGTTTAAGATGAAGATGATTAAATTAAATCCGAAATCCTTTGCAGTTTTGTGCGCTGATTAGTTAGGTAGTAGCAAAGACTATTGGATAGTCTTTGGTAGTAGCAATCAATATCAACCTGTAAACGAAACCTTGCCGATTACTGATCAGTGTAACACGTACATACGTAGAAAACACGTGCACCGTTTTACACTTGTCACGACATGTGTTTTGATCAAACCAATTCCGCCAATAATAAAAATGTGCCGTATCTGGAATGTGAGTTCAGGTCTCGAAATAAGTGCAATTTAGAACGTCGTAATTTAAATTTAATTACACATTTGGCGATGGAGTTCCTCAAGGATCCATCTTAGGGTCTATTATGTTTCTATCAATTTGGTGCGAAACACTCACCTGCTTTTTTGTATCTCGATGAAACGCGCTGTTGGAACTGCAACAAAAACACAAATTAGAAAATCTCATTCAATTTTTGATTAATCAGAGAGATAATGTTAAAATGCATGCTAGCAGAAATAAAACGCGGAGAATAATTTCGTAATTAGCATGATTCGTATTACCTCCTTTCATGTACTCATCGACTGACAGCTTGCTGAAACACCAACAGTCGATTAAGAGTAATTTTTAATTTACGTAATTGCAAATTATTAAATGCAGCCGACACCTGAGTAGAAACGGATGACGTTCCAAAATCACTTCAGAAGCCACTGAACCTAACTGAAATCAAGGGCAATTAATAGTCTGATTATACCAATATTTTCAAAACAAAGAGTTTTTTGTTGTTGGTCCCCATTTCACTCGAAATATCAAGTATGTCTTTTGGGCTCGACACGCGAACCTTAACGGTCACGAATCCTGAGGATACAAGGACCCGATCGTGTCTGTAATTTTGGGCTGTAGGAAGCAAATGTGGACTTTTTGCCCGAAAAAATTTTTCTTGCACAGTCTGCATGTCTCAAATTTTAAACAAATGAATTTTTAATTGACATTTAAAGATTTCAAACACACCTTCTGGCTTCTTGTGTTACTGCATTTTATCGTAGCTTGTAATTATGTCTTTTACTTTTATAAAAATGATATTACCGTTGAATAAATAAATAAATCCAAAGAAAAAAGATGGAAAAACAGAAGGAAAACAAACAATAAAGAACTAAAAACAGAGGACTTTTGGAAGACGATTCAGAGGAAAAGGGGACCATACTGTCAAAATCCAGTTTGAGCTAGGAAGCTGTTCTGTCAATTTGACACCTGGTTTTTGATAAGAGAGGTGTTATTATTTAATTGAGTTGGCCTCCTTTTACAAGAGGAAATTTAATTACTTACGTGATTTATATAAATATAAAATTAATTATTGTTGAATTTATACTAAACACAATTCAATTTATGAAGTTAAAGAAACAAATAGACTCAAAACCGTTCCCATGCAATTTATAATTGAGTGTAAAGGGGGGGGGGGTCGACTTACGTCATAATCAGGTGTAATCTAAAAGATGAAATTAAAGAATTGAAGAGAGTATATAAAATTACTTTTTAATCATTTTAATTTAAACTAATTCCCCATTTCGAGCACAATTGACTTCAAGTTACCAAATTACAATTCAATTTGCTTATATAGCACACAAAAAACTTCTAGAAAAATCTCGAATCAGCATACAATATTTAATGGAAAGAATTAGTCTCATCCACCTTCATTGCTTATTATCGTCGGTGGCGACTTGATGGCGCCTTCATACCGTCTAGAAAATTCGTTACCATATTTTGATTATAACCAAGTACAGGGTGTTAAAAAACTAACATCAAAAATCGAATGGAACAAAATCGTTAAAACTAAGTTTTTTAAATGGAAATCCCCTAGGGCCTAGAACAACTGTGTACAAAAAATGAGGGTAACTTTGTATAAAGCTTTTCTAGCTAATTTCACAAAGTAGTACCTATACGTTACAAACGTACAGAGAATATAAACCGCCATTTTTAAGCTCCCCTGGGAGGGAAAGAGACAACGAACAGCAGAAGAAAAGAGCAATAGAAAATAAAAATGACGCTGAGAAATATGAAAATGATGTTCTGGAAAGTGGCGAGGGTAGCAGACAAAGACGTTAAATTCTGGGAGTTTGTAAGAGGATATGATGTTGTGGTGATGGTAGAACCATGAACAGAAGAAAAGAACTGGGATAGGAACAGGATACCAATTTGTGAAGTGGGATAAGGCATACTAACAGCGGTAAAAAAGGGATACGAAAATGGAGGGGGGGGGGAGGGATTAAAGAGGAAAGACCTTCCCTATTCACTCCGATCTACAAATTTGATAAAGAATCCACCACCTAAAAAATTTCATTATAATCGGTCCATTCGTTCTCTTTTAAATTGTTGAACATCAAGCCATCGAGAGAGAGCGAGCGACGGACGGACGGACGAACGAGCGAGAAATAAAAAGATTTAAATCAGGTACAAGGATGGAATCGGATCACGAACCGATGGAAATCAGTTTGAAAAAGAAGATAAAAAGATCAAAAACACACAGTTATGGACAAGAGACTGTGGAGACTATATGAATAAAAAGAAGAAATAGGAGAGTACAGAGAAGTGGAAAAATATGAAGCAGGATATTGAAAATATAAGGTAATTGAAGGAAAGGGGATGGACAATAGAAAGGAGTGGTGGGACAAAGAAAAGTGAAACAGATACAGAATAATGCTGGACAACGAAAGAAAAGGGATAGAGTTGAGAGACCAGAAAAAATGTACAACAGAAAATGTAAGGAGAGACGGAAAGAATAAAAATAACGGAAATAAAAATAGAGGACTTTTGGAAGATGATTAATAGAGAAAATCAGAAAAAGAGGACACGTGGGAGAGAAATACAAATAGAGGACTGGAAGCAGGACTTTACTACGAAAAATCGAAGAAAGCTGGTGTTAAAAGACGGTAGGAAAAGAGGAGGAAGGAGACGAGATATCAAGAGAAATGACTGGGCAGTAATTAGAGACTAAAAAAAGGGAAAGTGGCAGACAGGGATGAAATAAGAAATGAGGCTTGGATTTTCGCCACAGATAGTTTCAAGAGAAGCTGAGAAAACTAATGAACAAGATATGAAAAGGAAGGGGACTGCCGGAAGAATGGAAGGAAAAAGTTATAGTGCCGATTAGATGTGATGAAGACTGTATGGAAAATTATAGGGGAATCACGATAAACACGACGGCGGAGAGAATATACGTATGCGATGGTGTTGAATGAAAGATAAGCAACAGAAATAGAAGAAGATGATGGAAGGAACACAAATCAAAAGGAAGCGTTGGGTACACTAGAAAGGAAAACAGTATGGAAAAAGATGGAAGAGGAGAAAATAGAAAGGACAGAATCAAGGAATTATATGGAACATAAGAATGAGGGTAAGAATAGGAGGGAAAGAGTCTGAAGTGTTCTGACGACTGAGACAAGGATGTCCACTTGAACCAACCTTATTTAATTTGTACAGGGTGGCCAAATAAGAATGCGAGGTACTGTATCTGGGAACCTATCGTAGAGGCTTTCGGTAAAAAAGTTATTACTAAAACGGCCATGAGAAAAACCTGGAAAATACTTTTAAGTTTCTGAAATGGCCGCTAGGGGGCGTAACTTCAATCTGGAATCTAAAGTCATCCGCCATTTTTGGGCAAATTTGCTGCCAACTTAAAAAAATTGACAGATAAAATCTGAATAGCTGTAATTTTTTATAACCTAACTTCATAGTACTGTCATGTTTTATAAAAATACAGTGCCACCATGCTCAGAAAAACCCCGGAAAATATGCGAACTAATTTTAAAATAATTCAGGCTGGCCAATAGAAGGTCTGCAAAACGACGCGATACATTCCGCGCCATAATTATTAATTATTCCGTTTTGACAGTTGACGCTTCACGTTATTTTAGTTTACACTTTGCTTCTTGTATTTGCTTTAATTTACGTTTTCCGTCTCCAGTTTTATACACTCTTCTTTTTCAAGACGCATATAGCTTGGATCTACGATCTGATAAGGTATGTAATTCTCTTAAAGTGTTTTTAAATTTGGCATCAGAATGTACGGTTTAAATTTCTAGCGCCCTCGGACACGCCCTGTCAGGGACTTTCTGAGCGTGGTGCCACTGTATATACAGATATCTCCAAACAGGTGGAACAATCCCTAACATTAAAGTTACTAAAATCTGGTAACTTCCGCAATTTTTGGGCAAAAATCATGCGTTCTCTCTCTAACACACGAGCCCAATGGATTGCGGTACTTTCTATATTTAGTGACTTTACTGAAATCTAAAAAACAGATGTTTCTGTGAATTCCGCTATATTAACCTAACAAAAAAATGTCCGGTCTTTGAAGTCGACGATAATTTGAACCTTTTTCGTTTAACAATTTTTGCTGTATCTCTAAAAATAAAGTGGTGGGGGGGTATTCAAAAATTTCCGTAAAGAACACCCTGTATCTTCGAAACGGCTGAATCGATTTAAACAAACTCGGGTCAGTTCAAAAGAGCTATTCTTCAGCTACAAATATTATAATATTTGAAGTTTTGTTAGTTTCACATATCACCGCTTGAGGGTTTTTTTCGACATTCCGGTTAATTTTCTCAAAAAAATTAAATGCATTGGTTCGATTTTTTTTCATGAAAAAGTAGCTGTTACACACATTATTTAGAAACTGAGGAACTGTGTTTGAAACAAAAAGTAAAAGGACCAAACGCCCGTAACTAAGCGTAAACAAATGTACACGCTCTTTTCACCGTCGCGAACTAACTGCAGCAGCCCCGTTTTGCCGTTGTCTCAAGTATTTACGGGAGCACCACTTGCAACATAGAATAATCTCCCTCCTCCGATATTTGCAAATAATGCGCCAATCACAAGCCGGCTGCGAGGGTCCCCACTTACGCCGAAAATAATACGCACATCGTTAACTAACTGCGTCTCTTGTTATCGGCACCGGAACGCGTCCGATAACAAAACCTCTTATCGCAAACAACCCTACGTTTCAACACGCAATTTCACGTTTTACAATTAAACAAACAATACGCAATTACAATTCACCGAGACACAAATTCAAATAAAACGAACCAATTCTGAGTTTATTCGTAAATATCCCCCGGTTTACTTTACTAAAATTGAAAATGTTTCTTATATACAGGGTGTCGCGTCATTATTTTTTTATGTTTAAGATAACGCCTACGGAAATCGGTTCAACTTTCGCCTTTCAAATGCAATGCCTACGTTTTTTAGGATATTTGAAAAGAGCAATTAAGTTTGTGTACGACAGCAGACACCGCGCATCCTGACGGCACACGGAACGCAAGATTTCATCAGTTTTCAAAAATTACGAATTTCTTATTTTTAGCGCTTTTTGTATTTTGTCCGTCCGTCTAGACCCACTTCTACGGCTTTGAACTTTTTTGAGTCCTAGAGGGCTGGCAT